CACACTCAAATGCATCTAGTACTTCCGTAGATAGGGTGTACAGTGCGGTGTCCGTAGACCTGCCCACTCTGTAGGCATGTTGGTCGGGGTGTAAAGGCACCTGTTTAAGGGTGCTGTTCCTGATTTCATGGTCGATCACCTTCTCCATCGCCTTAAGCAGGAAGGAGGTAAGGCTTATCGGCCTGAAGGACTTAGCTAGAGAATAATCTCTCTTACCTATCTTCGGGATAAAAATGACCCGAGCCCTTTGCCACGCCTCGGGGATGTGAGCGAGCGCTAGGCTAGCCCTCATGATGTTCACGAGGTGTGGAAGTAGGAGCTCCTTGCCCTGCATCAGCAGCACTGGACTGATGCCATCCACCCCCGGGGATTTATACCGGTCAAAGGAGTCCAACGCCCAACAGACTGATCGGTGGGTAAATAGACTCCTAGCCAGCTTCCAGTCCACCGGGGACGGCCTGGTCCGTCGGCACGGTGTCTCTCCCGAAGTGGGAGTGGCATCCGGGAAATGGGCCGAAAGCAGGGCAAGTGCCCTTTCCTCTTCGTTGCCTGAGTACGTGCCATTGGCTAGCTGGATTGCTAGTCTGGTATCTGTATGGTCCCTTGCCAAGGCCTTGTGTAGCCTGGCAGCTGAAGGAGTCGATGAGATGCCCTCACAGAACTTCCTGAAACTGTCGCGTTTAGCCCTCCTGATTTCTTTACTGTAGTTAGTTAGACTTGCTGAATACTCATCCCAGCGCCCTGTGCGCTTTGCTCTATTAAATAGCTTGCGTACCTCCTTTCTGAGCACCGATAACTTCCGAGACCACCAGTTGGGCTGCGCCTTCCCTCCTGGTTTTGTCTCCGGGCAGCTTGAGTGAAAGGCATCTACAATGGCGCCATTTAACTCATTGACGGTGCTCTCTAGGCTCATGCAGTTAGTGTACCTGTTCCTGGACTTAATTCCAGTTAGGTTTGACTCTAAAGTCTCGCTGTACTTTGTCCAGTCAGTTTTCCTGGGGTTCCTGTTTGCCTGCCTAGTTATGACCTCTACTCCCAGTGCAAACTGGATAATCCTATGGTCTGACAGTGAGGGCTCCGATGAGACCCCCCACTGGGTGACCAGAGGGCTAGCCAGTCTGTTGCTAAGCGTGATGTCTAGTACCTCCTCTCTAGCCCTCGTTACAAATGTCGGTGTTTGGCCAACATTGTGGATGCTTAGTTCCTCACTTAAGATGTACTCTAGGAGACACTCACCTCTGCGGTTCGTATCCGTGCTGCCCCACTCGACATTGTGGGCATTCGCATCGCACCCTATGATGAGGTGGAGCCTTCTCTTCCTGCAGAATTCTACTAGCTGCTGTACCTCTTGCGGAGGGGCGTAGTTGCTGTCCCCCGGGAAATAAGCCGCGGCAAACACCACCTCTAGGCTTCTGCCACTTAGCGAGAGCGACGTCTGCACCGCGACCAAGTCCTGTGTTAGAAACTCTGTAATGCAAAAGTAATCAATGTTCTTCTTAAGCACCACACATGCTCTGGGCCTCTCGCAGGAGAGGTCCCAAATTACCTTGTTGTTGTTGTGGTTGAGGCCCCTAACCTGGCCTCTGTAGGTCCACGGCTCTTGGATCAGTAGAATGCCCAGGTCATCCGTGGCGAACCTGCTGGAGATGACCGCCGAAGCAGCCACCGCATGATGCAGGTTGACCTGGGCTACTGCCAAGCGACGCGTGGTCATAGTTGGGGCTCGTCGAGATCGGAGAGCTGTAATTCGCTCTCGCTTCTCCTATCGAGCTCAAGTCGCCTAAAATCGATGCCTGCTAGCAACTCCTGCGTGGATGGCACGTCTTCCGCTGGCTTGGTGGTGGTGGCTGGCTCGGACGTGCTTGCTGGAGTTGGTGTCTGGGTGACGGGTAGCTGACTGAGGGGTGGCTGTGCGAGGGGTGGCTGTTCCGCCGGTAAGGTCGAGGTTGACTGGATCGACTGGGCAGCGGAGGAGTCGGCAGCCGCCTCGATTGGGATCTCCTGCGACTCCGACTCCTTGCTACCTGTCGCCTTTTGTCGCCACGGCCTCACCGTGACGAAACTGAACCTATAATTCAGGTTGAAGCCAGCCCTCTTGATGCTGACATAAGATTCCTCGTCTATGCCCAGAAATAGTCTGAGCCCGTTCTCCTCTACGGAGCTGGACACTACCTTCCACGCAGAGATGTGGATGCCCTCATTCTGCGCTTTTAGTAGCCCCAACGCAAACTCCGCCGACTTGTCGGCGCTCCTTGGCAGGAACACCGTGATGTTATGCACTGGAGGGATGTCATCCCCCCTCTTCGTGCACATCTCGGGTCCCTTCCAGCCCTCAAGTGCTGGTGCTTTCTTCACCAGCCAGGTTGCTGTCCTCTCGTCCCTGCAGTCTACCAGTAGCATGCCGGATCTGAAGTACACACCACAGAACACCAGCGGGTGCGACCATCCTTTAAAGACCTCTTCCATAATGGCATCCTGGAGTCTGGTTAGGTCTTCCGAGCTCAGGGCAGCAGCTGGGTACTCACAAGGCAGCACAGCTACCCGAATGCCTTTGAGGGCTTCCGAATAGCTGGGTTGCTGGGTGGAACCCCCCCTGCGCCTGTCCCTGCTCGATCGGCCCGCCCAGGCTCCTAGACCATGAGTTCGGAGTGGGTGGCTGCTCCCGCTGCCGTTTGGTGCCCGGTGTCTCTGGCGGAGTGACCTGGTTGCTACCTCTTTTGTTGGAGCCTGTTGGTTCCGCGCTTTTCCGCTTTTCAGCGGGCGCGGGTCTGTGCTGCTGTTGTCGCTGTGGCCCGCTCTTCTGCTTTTCAGCAGGTGCGGGTAAGTGTGCCTGTTTGTGGGGCCCGCTCTTCCACCTATCGGCGGGTGCGGGTTTGTCGCCTTTCTTGTGCCTTTCGCGTCCCTCATTCTCGATCTCCATCCTGACCTCTGCCATGGCTCTGGCTTCGACTGGGGGTTTGCCTTGCCCGAGGTACCGGAGGTACCATTTGACCCCGGAGCCGCTTAAGCCCTCGCGAAGCCGATCGTCTAGGGACCCCGGTTGACCTGGCTGCGGCATCGGAGGAGGCTTGGCCCTGCGGTGCTTCCTACTCCGTTGCTTTTGCCACCCGGAGTCGTCGGACGCTGCTGAGGCGCTTCTGCTGTGCGACCTATGGAGTCTCTCCTTCTCCGCCCGGTGACCGCTTTCGGAGCGGCGCCGGCTCTTGGAGCGCCGCCGGCTCACTGAGCGGTGTCGACTCGTAGAGCGACGCCGACTACCCGAGCGATGCCGGTTCTTGGAGCGGCGACTACCATCGGTGCGGTGGCTGCTGTCTGACCTTGCTGTCTCTCTGTACCTGCAATGAGAACTGCCGGACCGGTGTTGCGGCCGATCTGGTTCGGCAGGTAAATTGTGATTTCCTGTTAGGTTACTGTTGTTAGAACTACCTGTTTTGCTCTGTCCCATGCGACGTAGCGCATCTGCACTGGTCCCTGGTTGGTCATCGTCCCTTGCATGTTCGATGAACAGCGCTGCCTCCTCGGCGGTTAACTGGTCCAGGAAACTGCCTTTCCGCCCAGCACTTCTTGGGCCTTCCCACGCGCTGCTGTTTCTTGGCGTCTCCAGTGCCTTTGTTGTACCTGTTACAGTTGCACCTACCGCAATTGAAGCCGCGGGTGTTGTTGTTGCTGTGCTAGCTGTTGTTGTGGCTGTCGAGTTTTGTGTTTTTGGTTTTTTGGTTGTTTTTTGTTGTTTTGTCATCATCTTGTTGCGTGTTAGATGATCGTACAATTTGTCTGATCATTTGAGACAACATGTTGGTGTGTACCTTTGAGAGTTGAATTTGACAGCTAATGTATGAAGTCGTTCAAAAGACGCATAACGATAACTGATTTTTGTTTAGCAACGGTTGCGTAAATTGTTCTCCAGACGGCACTACCCAATTCCTATGTAGAATTGATCGGTGATTCCGAAAATCGAGTTAATTTTTTTTCCATGAATACCTTTTTCAAGATATTTGCAATTTACCGTTATTCAGCTTAAAGCAAAAATTGGTTCCTTTTAATCACGTATATCTTACGAACCAATTTAAAAATCTTCATGTAAAATACGGCAAATTAAAGCCGATGAAATTCTCCATAAATCGTATGTATGTACATCACTTTCCGATAGGGCTTATAGTTTCTGACAAATTAATTAATCATTCCAGATTTTTTATTTTTAATGAAAAAATGAAAAAAATTAAACTTCAACAGAAGAAAAATATAAAAAATAACAGGTTCTGTGCCAAATTTTTGCATTTGTACTAAAGCCTGTTCTGTTACAAATTAAAAAAAATCAAGTTACTGATGAAGAAAATCGATGGATAGATACGAAATATGAGTGGTCAAATGAAAATGAGCAAAGATTTTTCGTATGAAATACGAGCAGTAAAGCGTGTTATTCGGGTGTACGTGGCGTATGAGTAACACGCTTTAGTGCTCGTATTTCATACGAAAAATACTTACGCATTTGCCAGTAATATTTCGTATTTATCCATCAGAAACTTGATTTTTTTTTTGTAACAGAACAGGCTTTAGTACAAATGCAAAAATTTGGCATAGAACCTGTTATTTTTCAAATTTTTCTTCTGTTAAAGTTAGGTTTTTTTTTTTAATTTTTTCATTAAAAAATAAAAAAAGCTGGAATGATAAATTAATTTGTCAGAAACTATACGCCCTATCGGAAAGTGATGTATATACGATTTATGGAGAATTTCATTGGATTTCATTTTCCGCATTTTGTATTAAGATTTTTAAATTGGTTCGTAAGATATACGTGATTAAAAGGAACCAGTTTTTGCTTTAAGCTGAATAACGGTTAATTACAAATATGTATTTCGGAAACGAAACAAAAACCAAATTGAAATTTGTGATCCAGTGTAATTATCCAGCAAATTAGTCTTATCACTCAGGAGAATTCTTCGAACCTTCTTCCTGTTCCAATTCATTCCCATCGCCATGGTTTAATATGAACTAAAAAATTTCTCTCGCTTTACCTTTATTTCGGCTTACAGAATTTACAGAATCTTTTACAGTAATGGCTATGAATTTTGGCAATCAGTTGCTCATCGTTGACAAATCGAAAGCAACAAAAACTTTTTAACTGCGCAAATTCTGCAGCATTTCAGTTGAGCATCAGCAACATATTCTGGTCTATCGCTGAATCCATCGTATTCCGATTTTCGTGAACGTATGCATTCAAGGTATATGCTACGTTTGTAGCTATTCGGATTCTAAAAGACAACAAGGTCTCAATATTGCGGTAATTATTACGAAGCTCGAATACACCCAACTTCTACATATAGTCGTTTAAAGCACAAAACCGCGTATCGTGCGTAACGATAAGAACGCGACAGCATGAAAATGACTTGAACACACTAACACATTACCACTTTAAGCTCACGCTTGTTTGTGGTCGTGCCCACCTCTGAACATAACCAAAAGACTCCTGCAAATTCCAGCTGGTAAAATTTTTACTTGCAAGAATTTGCAGCTCTCTCGGGTTGTTACGCTCTCGAATTTGCTCTTGCAAATAATTTGGGTTATTGAATGAATTTCCAGGAAAAACTTGCAATGCAATTCGTAAAAATTTTTTGATATTAAATGGAACGCAATTTTGCATTTTGGTGGTACGCGGTTTTGTACTTAAAATGACGACATGTATATGTACGTACATATGTTTATGGGGCCTTTTCCATTGTGGCGTTCTGTGCATTCTGCAAAGCATTAATTCTTGATTAACATATCTTTATTGATGACAATGCAAAGCGGCTTACAAGTATTTTTGACGAATAATTTCAAGCAAATTTTTGTAATGGTATATTTAACCTTCTGGGAACTCCCTTGTTTTGCAATATCGTACTACGTACATATATATTTTTCTACCTCCACTGTTTTATTGTAGTTATTTTTTTTTTTTTTAATTAACGCTTAGCAAGCTTTAATGCAAAATATACACCCATTACAAACACCAATACAATAGCCAATTTTCTAAGATTTGCCCGATTAACGCCCTTTATAGAGCGGACAACATCACCGTTGTAAATAAAAACGTTACGGCTTTCTTCAATGAATTCCGCGCGAAGTCGATCATCAAAAGCTCCATAATTATCGTTGAGCACTTGGCGTAATTTATTCTTCAATACAGAAATTTTTTCCGGAAAAAATGTTGCAGCACATCCTACTGGACAAATCGTAACTTGCCTTGGCATTGGACGATGCTCCAAGTCATCATCTATTGCATTCGAATTTGCTGGTTTCGGCTCCTCGTCTTCCTCATCCTGCCTACCAATCCATAGTTTCCTCTTAATCATTCTTTTCTTTTGCAGCAACTGACCCCCTGACATTAAGGCCATATACATTTGGTAAGCATAGGCAAATAACAGCAGCTTATTTTTTGAATTCACTTCCTGCAAATGACCGAGGTACTTCTTAACACTTTCACGCGGTTCATATGAATCCTTCCAATTTTTTCCAAGGAAATATGACAAATCCTGCTCAAATGCGTCTTTACGGTGAAGCTCTTTTGGAAGCAAATTTTCAGGTAGATTTTCTTCAAGAAATTTGTATATTTCGAAAAATGCTAACAAGCCGTCATACCAAACCGCATCATCAGATAATGCTGAAACAAAGTAAATAAATAAAAGTTGTTACATTGGGCCTCATGCATAAAAGGCGAGTTTGAGCTCAAACCTCAATTTTTGCACTGATGAAGTGAGCTCACACTCAAGAATTTGTAATGAAAATCTATTTGGGAGCTTAAGCTCACTTTTTATGCATGATTCCCATTATTTGTGCCCTTTGTTACTTACCCAATGCAAATTTAGCATTCACTAGAACATCACTAAGCTTGTGTACATCTTTTGTGGCTTGGCGTAATTCTCTTGTAAAGGTCATATCCACAACGGGTTCATTCGCATCTTTAGGATTTGCTTGTCCTGGTGATATTTTTTCTTCCGCAGAATTTGATTGCGACGCAGTTTCCATTTAGACTTCTTTGTTCTTTATGTGCGTACGATATTTTTACTATATGCTCTATGGCAAAACCAATTTCACATCCGCGGTTGACCTCTGATGTTTGTTTTGGTTTTTTTTGGGAGATTGTAAATTTATTGGCAGATGAAAAGATTTGAGAAACGAGCAGTGTTGCTTGACAGTTCAAACTTTGGGCTCTGTCACACGGTCAGTAATTATCCGATATTTGGATCGCGATCCATATTGATGGATTGATGGATCGCGCACGAATGCTACATGTTCAATATTTATCGCGTCAGTATTTGCATAATTTATTTATTACAGTCATTTGACCTATATACATTCACGTATATACATTTGAATTATGTATTGCAATATATAATAAAGGTAAAGTTAAAATTAATAAAATAAATAAAATAAGTTAACCTGTTACACTTTTCCTTCTTATGTATATTTAACTAAGATAGCATATTCTCGATGCTGTTGGAATGGATATGATTCCAAGCAGTACCGTAAATATATTACGTACGATATGCGGTCTAAGTGTGTAATTTCCAGAGCCGCCACAACTGCGCGGTAGGAAAGGACTAGTTTCCAAGCCGCCTCTTATAAACTTCTCTACCGGCAGGCGATCTGAATGGACGAAATCCAGAGTCGCGCTATTTGATCGGACGGAAAGGACTAGTTTCCATGCCGATCTTTTTATTTCATACATTATGGGTGATCTGAATGGACCAGATCCAGAGTCATCCAGCTAGTACGGATGGAAAGGACTAGTTTCCATGCCGGACCTTTCTATCTGATAGCCCATGATTCAATAATACAAGGTTCGATAAACTGACAGTTGTCTCTCTCGCACCGCTCCCTTGGCGGCGGCACGGTGTTGCTTCTTTGCAAATTTGCTTGGAAAAAGTGTAGCTTTGGTGTGAAATAGAAATATAAGCTTTTGTGAAATATGCTTATTTGTATATGCATATGAAGCATACTTAACTGATAAAAACATAAATTGTTTTTAAATTGAAGGTACCAACGTTTTCACAATTTTTTATTTGAGTCATTGTTTTATGTTAAACACGAATTTCATAGCGTGATAGAAAATTTGCTGTTTCACGATCAGCCAGTTTAATTCTGCGATCATTTCTAATATGGGTGTGTCGTACCGCTTGTTCAAGATAAATCGCATAGCCTTATCTATTTGTGTGTCGCTTGCTATAAAAAAGATTGTTGGACAATATATGAAATGTGGTTCAGCTAAAGATCTGTAGACCAGAGTCTTATACCTCCTTCCTAAGTACTTACATGATCTTTTCATGAGACCAATTTTTTTACCAATTTTTGCTACTGTGTAGTCAATATGTTCCTCAAATTTTAACTTATCATCGATATACATATATACCTAGATATTTGATGATTCTTACTTTCTCAATTACTTCATCTTTAATTTTTAAATTGTAATTATCGGAGCCAACGTTAGCTGCTCTAGATATTACTATAAACTTTGTCTTATTCACATTTACTTGCAGTCTGTTTTTACGCACAACCATTTATACAAACAATGAAGATCTTCTTGCATTTTAATCATTGCATTGGGTAGATTACAGTCACTGAGGGTTAAGAGGGTATCGTCGGCGAACAATTTTACCTTACAATACTTCAATATCGAGTTTATGTCGTTGATATAAATATTAAAGAGAATTGGAGCTAACACCGACCCTTGTGGTAGACCAATATCTATTGCTACCTTTGCGCCAAATCAAAACAGTGGAGTTTATCGTGGTTGGCTACCGTCCACAAATATAAATATGCACTCTGCATGGTTTTTACAATATATTCTTTAGGTCGAGTCCAAAAATTCACTTTACTGCTCACCTTCCTTTTGGTCTACATGAAATTGCAAATACTGTTAGTACATCCATTTTTTCATGTACTAAAAATCGTACTTACCTTAAGGGCTACATGTCCAAAATTATTGCTACGTGTTCCTAATTAATCAATCTTTGTATATTTATTGATTGTTTACATTTTTTATATGTGTTTTGGCATTTTTCTCTCGTAATTGCACCAAGATGACGTCACCCAAAAATTACGCTCAAAAATCCTCTCTCATTCTCAAGTTCGGGTAAAATCAAGGCGAATTTATGCAAGGTGGTGTTGATGGCGAATTTAGATTTTCGCCGCGGTACTTCCTAATGTCAAAATGATGTGTTTGTTGTAAACAAGGCGAATTCATATTACAACAAACACGTCATTTTGACATAAAGAAGTACCGCGCCGAAAATCTAAATTCGCCATCAACACCATCTTGTATAAATTCTCCCTGGATAAAATCTATCCAATATTTATGCGAAAATTATGTACAAAAACCTGGCGTCGCACTTATTTTGAAAGTTGCAGTTAGGTGTAATAAAAACATGGAGGTGCTTGGTGTTTCCAATATATCATTTTTAGAGAAGAAGCCTTATCATGAGTTTCATTTTCCCCGAACCGGTTCACTTTTCACGATTATGGGCAGAATACAAATTTTCGGGTCAAATTTTTTCGGGCGAAACTCAGAATAAGGCAGAAGGTTTTAGTTAATGATGCCAATAACAATAAATGTGAAATTCTAAGTTTTTTACAACCATGAACTGCACCATGACCTTTATAAAACCTGCAATAATATCTTCCTGACTATTTTTAACTAAATTTTGGAGTACTAGAAAAGACTGACCGTGATCAGCTGTTGGACATAACTTTCAAGTTGCCTCACGATTTGAAAAGAAAAATTGATATCAAGTCGACGTTCAAGTTGTAAAAGGGCGAGTGGGTTAGAAAAATATGTTGATATATTGCAACTTGCTTTTTTAGTTCTTGACACGTGTAACCACCAAGTTATAAAATTATAAATATCGATGGCCAACATCGAATTTGGACCGGTATCGATGTTTCAAAAACATCGATGCATCGTTTGCATCTCTAAATATTATAAGAAGTTTATACATTGTGTTTACAGAACGCACTTTGTCACAGCTATATTTCGAATTTCGGGTAAAACCAAAATATTAGAATTTAACAAAACTATATACATATTTAGAAAGACATGAACACGTGCAAACGAGAAAAGCCTAAATGCCGTACATGTTTAGATACAACTGATAAGAAGTTCCACTCATTGAATGCAAAACTGATAAAGGGCGAACAGCGAACAAGCCTGGCTGAATTTTTATGGGAAATATCAAAAATGGATGTAAGTAATATAAATTGCTTAGTCTATGCAGAACTAATATATTCAACGCCCCACAGAATTTTTCGGAAACTGCCAAAAGATTACCGCAACAGATATGTGACAGTTGTTTGCGTAAATTAAAAATTGCATTTTCATTTGTGATGCAAGTGCAGAAGGTTAATGGGAGCATGATAGTTGCCTTGCAAAGGGAAATGCCTATTAATTTTTGTCAAACTGCGGATGAAGCTCGAGAATGTTTTGTAGATTGTAATTCCTCATTAGCTCTCGATTCGCAAGGTAGGTAAATTTGAAAATGGATTTGCATTTGAAGTCTAGGATTTGCAGGTTTTGCGGAATTTAGAGAATTTATAGCGGCAGGTGATATAAAAGAAAAAGAAATACTGGACGTGGTCCGCCTCTTTCCACTGATTTCAATGATGATTTTTTTTGGTGCAAATTTATTGGGAGGTGAATAAAAGTGGAATTTTCAATATTTTTAAAAAGGGGTAGGGTAATTGAAAGACCTTTTATTTGATAAGCATATCTATGTATATACATATATGTATAATTAAAAAACGGAATAATGAAAATTTTTTAATAAAAACCTTTTTTTTTTTTAATACGTATCAAGAGATATGTTTAAAATAGCATGAAGATACCTTTAAATTGATAAATAATTTTATATTGCTTAGTGTAAGTACACCTGTGAAGAGTTAAATTAAACAACTGTATAAATTTCTACGTAGTAAGGGCCGGACGTCGCCTACGCAAAATAATTGTTTGCAAAAAATCATACATCAAATTAAAGGTATTTTTACATCCCTTTTATTAGCTCGGGATGTAACTTTGTAATATTGATTCGCCTAAAAGATGCAGCGATTTCTATTCTCAAGTTACATACCTGATGACAGTACGAATGGAAATTATAATAGCGAGATTTTAGTTTTTTAAACTATAATTTTTATGCTCTTTTTAATAATCGTATTTTGGCATATATAGTTTAATATAGTTTAGTGTAAGTACAAATGTCAACAGTTAAATAAAACAACTATATATTTCTATGTAGTATTAGTGCAAGTACAACTGTCAACAGTTAAATAAAACAATTAAATAAATTTCTGTGTAGCAAGGGCTATAAACCCCAGGCGCGGCCGAAGGCCGCCTATGCAAAATAATTGTTTGCAATAAAACATATATCAAATTAAAGCTATATTTATGCTCTTTTTAATAATCATATTTTTACATATTTAGTTAATTACGTATTTTTTTCAGAAAAACATTTTTTTTTAAAATTGTCATAATTTCTTTTTTTTAGTTTTTCTCAAAATATGTAAATAAAATATATATACATATGTAGATATGTGTATCAAGGTCTTTCAAATACCTATCCAACCATATCCCCATTTGGAAAATCGGTTCATTAGCATATGAGGTTTTGAAAATATTGAGAATTCCTCCCTCCCACGAGCACCCCGCTATTAATTTCCACAAAAAAAAATACACCATTAAAATCAGTAAAAGGGGGCGGACCACGCCCACTTTTTTTTCTCACCTGCCGCTATACTGCACTTGGTCCGGAATCAGTCCGAAGTCGTTCCCGTACGCCGCGTTCACCTGCAAATCCTTGAGAACCGGAACAGGCTATATGATAAATTATTAAATTATGTATTTAAAGATCCTATTGGAATAGCCCGGGCAAAAAAACGGAAATTGTCATTCGAATTTATTAAAAGGTAAATAATCTACTTTATTCTCTAACTAAGCTTTATAAGTGTAAATACATATGAATGTAAACTTATTCAAAATCTCAATTTGATTTGATTGAAGGCAATACATAAATGAAGACTCCGCGGATTCGATTACAACTATATTTGAAGGTAATATACTATTTGTATCAACAAACACTGTACATAGCTGAAACTTATTTTTATATCAACAGGTGGTGAAGAAACGACAGACTCTAACTCGTGTAAAAATGGATGTCACAAAGGTAAACAGCATATCATTATCATCATCATCAATGCAAAAGACACTTTCTGTATTTTTTCAAAGGGTGTTTCTTAATATTTTTATACCCGAACGCACTTGTGCACAACGGTATTACAACTTTGTTCATATAACGGTTGTTTTTAACAGCCTGAATGAATCGAGGTAGATATAGAAAAAATTTACATATAAATACTCAGAATGAATAGTGAAGTCGATTAAGCAGACATGTGTCTGCCCGTCCGTCCGTCCGTGTACACGATAACTCGAGCAAAAATTGAGATATCTCGACGAAATTTGGAATGTAAGTTGCCCTTTATCCAAGAACCACGCCCACTTGCCATATAACGGTATTTTCGAAAAATGCAAAATACGATATTTCTGTAAATATTGGATCCAAATTGTTGAAAATTAGTATATGGGTAATTTCCAAACCTGTACACTTGGTTATAGCTATATATTTTTTAACATTTATAAATTTATACTCTGAAATCGTTTACTGACGTGAAAATCTGTGCAGAATACGAAACTGCTTTCGGGCTCTTCAAAAAATAGGTCCATTCAATAACTTTTCCAGTAAGTACTTGCAGCGAGAGCGTAAAAGAAAAATAGAGAGTAAATTTGAGAACAAGAGAAAATTTTCAGAAAAAGTTATTAAACGCAAAACTAGTAAAAACTTGCAACTTAAGCCATTTTGACACTTTCTGACGGTTAAGTTTTGGCGGGCAATTTTCTTTTTAATTGGGAATAGCTCCCATCGTCATAAAAAAAATATATATAATAGATTTAAATTTTTCATCCATATTTTCATTTCACTAATTATAGGAGTGTTCGCTATGCAACTGCCAGTAAGAATTAGCCAGTAACAAAATTCAGAGAATAAGGTACCTTACTCTCCCAAAAAGAGAAACTATGTTTTGCGCGAACAGGAATTAGCAAACATTTGCGAGCTTCCCTGCCAGCTGGCTTCCACGGTTGCATTTCGAGCATAATAAATTTTTTAAATTATTCCAGGTAGAAACCAAAACAGGACCTATACGTATATTTCTTCTTATTCTGACTTTCTTCAACATACGCTTCAATTTCTTTGTGGAAGTCACTGTCGGATTTCCTATATCGACAGTGGTGTCGAGTGCGTTCCGACTACGAATACAGCTTTTTCAGCCGAGTACCTTTCAAATGTTTGGAATTAATTAAATTAATTGAATAAACGAATATTTACATACTTTTTTCATTTGTAAATCGCAACAAGATTGTTCATTTTTAAATTTAACGAACTCGTTGATTCAAATTAATGTTGACAAAAATGCAACCGTGTGCCACAATCCTGCTTGCAAATTCGTGCTGGGAAAATTTTTGCCTTCCCCTCCAAATGAAATGTCAAAATTGTGATCTCTCCTTGCAAGTTTTACTGGGTTTTTGGCTAAACGAATACGATTTGGTAACAATTGGTACCAACTTGTACACATTTTTTGCATAGCGAACACTCCTTATGTTTCATCAAATCATCCTCTTAACCAGTTTGTTTACACTTGAATTTGAAACATAACCTTACTTTTGGCTCCTGCAAATTCTTGCTAGTAAAATTTTTACTAATACCTAATATGTAAATCGATAGGTTCTTTCCCTAACAATCCGCACCGGATCCGGTAATTAGAAAGCGAAAAGTTTGCTCTCAAAAACGGAACGTAGTCCAGAAGTACGGGAACGCAAAAAACCACATTGAGTGCCCAGAATTTGAGAAACAGTTGATTCACGTTGTTTTTGTTCTTGTTACTTAAATGCAAACACTTGGAAATTGAATTTCGGTTTCGCAAATTTGATTTTAAGTATATAAGTATTGAAAATCCATCAACAGGCCATTCACTATTCCTCAAAAGCCCTAAGTAAATGCAGACGACATGTAAACACAAAATAGCTGATATGGCACTTTGACAGTTTATCCCTTTTTACCCGGAGAAAAAGTCCGGGCTGTTTCGGGCAGGAAGAAGAAGACACTTAAGATCCAATACATTCCAACTTTCGCTCTCTATTACCCATTTTGTTGAGTACGGGAATGACTTCTGGGCTGCTTTGGGCACCCGCGGGATCCTGCGTTGCGTACGGGAAAGAACCTGATGTGTGTTTGCAGGAAATATTAGTGGTGTTCTTTTGAAAAGACAAATTTGCCTTTCGTATATACGTATATTTTTATCCAAGGCTTTATATGAACGAACAAAAAAGAATGTTTGTTAGTTATTTGTACAATGATTTTCGGTTGTTGTGTCCAAACGCATAACCCGAATCTAAAAACTTTAACATCAAATGAAAGGATTTAATTTAACATAAATGTTTCAAATCTCCGAGCAATAGTTTATTAATAAATTCGGTTTGCACTATGCACTTTTTTGTAAATTTCGATGTGGGTTCTGCGTAAAAATACTGTGGATGGCGTAGCCGGAGTTATATGCACCAGAAATGTTGTACGCCTTTGACATGTGGAAGCCCCTCTTCTCCGGCAACAAAGAAAGAAGAATTGTACGCAACAAGTGGTAGACCCAACAAAGTGCATGTTATGCCCGACTTATACTTCTTTACTTGTTGTTAGTAGAGTTGGGTTGAGTGGGCATGTAAAGGGTTGGTTGGTGTCATGAGGGGATTTACATATATTTGGCCCAGGGCTGTCTGTCACATTCCCAAAAACTGCTGTTTACAACAAAAACATGGGCACACTTCTTGTGGTTACCTAATATTTCATTAGCTTGCTTTCTTATGCCCCCTTTACAAAATTTCAAAACCAAGTCTTTTAAAGAACATTATACATTTGCACCATTTGAACATCCATGTAAGCATTTCATGAGTTAGTTAAAAAAGTGGTTTGATTCTGTCAAACTTCAAAGAGTCAAATGCGGCCTTTTGCATTGCTGATGTCGATATGTACAAGAAGTTAACTGATCGAAAACTTCTGTAATTCTTGCAATAGAAATTCTACATACCCTGAAAAGTATTACAGATCGCTTGGATACCGTTGAAGGAAACGTAAGTATTCAACAAAGAAAAGAAAGTGTTTCTTATGTCATAGGTACTCAAATTAGAACTTGAATATTTGTTGATCAAAAAGAAACCTTTTGTGAATATGTATTTAATAACAAACTTGTACTATACATATGTACATAAAATTTGATAACGAAATATTTTTTATAGCAAAAGATCATTACCACAAACCAGGGCATATTGTTCAAACAAGTTAAAAAAGATGAAACGAATGTAAGTTGTAATGTTACGAACTTAACTTTTTATGATTTTCATTAGGGATGTGCGATTAATCAATTACGGACGAGCTGATTTATTCATATGCATGTATACGTATATGTACACTTGTGGACAGCTGATTAAGTCAAGTGTTATTTTAACTAGTTTTGGCTGTTTTTCTTGTGTTCATTTCATGTTTATATTATTTTATAAAATTTTAGCACTTTACCTAACCAGCGCCACAAATCCACATTTAAAACTTTGTACAAAAATATGAAAATTCAACAAACTTTAGCATTTGCACCCAAAAATTTTAAACTTTTCATTAAAAATTTCTAGAAAAAAAAGTGCAAATTTCAAGACGCTGGAAAATCGCGTTGATTTTTAACAGTGGTTTTTTGCTGATGGTGCCAGGCATTTTCTCCCATGCAAACGAACTTGTCGAGCATACTTTATACGGAAGAAAATTCGGACACCGTCAGCCAAAAAAATTACTTAAAATCATACCCAAAATTTCTCTAAAAATTCTGAATAAAAATTTTCAAAATTTCCGGTGCAAATGTTAAAATTTGTTGAATTTTCATAATTTTTGTACGAAATTTGAAATGTGGATGTGGAAGATCTTGACTTTTATAAAAAAAAAAAATATAAACAAAAATTCATAATCCTGATTAATCAAAATAATCGCACTCCCTAATTTTTATTAAACTATCCTATATACATATGTATGTATGTACATACATTTCTAATAAGCTATATTTTAAGGTGATTGAGAAGGAAGAAAGCCACTTGGTAAAAAAAAACATCAGGCGACAGGTGATTGTGCAGAAAGTTAAACCATTAGTCCAGTCGCCGTTGGTCACGAGACAATGCAAAGTTTTCATAAAAAAGATGAAACAGCCGCTATGCATCAAGGAAGAAAGAGGAAATGTTTATGGCAATAATGAGTTATCCATACGTTTACCATTCGATTCGCATGCTTCTATTTCGCGTATGGAAGAACAAATAGAGAAATACCCAGAGTACGCCAAAGCATTGGTAATTAAATTGTGTGCATTTGTGCTTTAAATTTTATAAAGTTAATGTAAAACTTTTCTAAAGACGGCAACCTTCGAAAAATTGAGGGGCTTTTCCGAAGACGTTTTCACGGTAATGAGGAATATTTTCAGTGATGATGTTTTATGGGATTATAACTGGAATGGCAGCTGGCGAAAAAAGGCCTTCCGCAAATTGAAAGTTCTCAACATTCTAAGAGGTTTATACTTATAGCTCATTTACTTCAATAGTGTCATATCTCAAAAAAAAAAGCAAAACTTGAGAAAAACGGCTTTAATGTTTTGAATTTACATATACTTCCATAGTAAAAATGAATACATGTTTTGTTCTAATGAAATACTGGCAATCGATACGGCTATGAAATTTTTACACAACAAGAAGAAGAGGTAGCGCTAAATTCTACATAGTCAACTCGAAATTTGTATTTTTTGAATTATGGCGCTATTGAAGTAAATGAGCATTATGTTACATGATAGGTCAAAACTGTATATTGGTTCCTTTTTTCCTTAGATGTCTTTAAAATGCAGCCATATCACAGCTTTGAACTAAGCCTCAAGAGGAGCTTTAATGCCAGTCGCAAAAGTACCTTAAGTAAAAACAAGAATGTACATATATATTAAATTTCAACTAAAAATCATGCTGAAAGAGATATGCATGCATAGAAAAGTAAACAATATATTTTTACCTTAATTTAGAAAGGTCCTGTCCTACTTTTTTGTTTCGTACTTAACAAATTTTATAAAAACCAAAGTTTTTCAGTGTCGAATTTTTTCAAATCACTGGTTTTTAATAAACACTGAAACTAATTTAATGATGTAGTAAGTGTTTTTTAAATCTTTTTGGTTCTGGGTGAGTACTCTTCCGACTCTTGTATAATCGGAATTTCGAAAGAAAATGAGTTAGGGACTTTCTATATTAAGGTAACGATATGTACTTGTTACCTAGACGATAGACTTGTTACCTAGTACCGTCCGAAAACACTATAGTACAGGGCTCGAATCGTTACATACGATATCGTACTACTCGTCATGTAAAAACACATTTTTTGGATTATGACATACGTGAACGTACTTTGACCTGAAAACTTTGACGCTTATTCCTTTATTAGGATCTCGCTCCCTCTGAAAAGGATACGGCGGAAATCGCTTTGGTATAGCTTTTGATTTTTGTGAATGATCATTATTCTTAAGTGAAAAAAATAAAACTCAATAATAATTATTATCTTTGAGCGAAATAATAAAAATCTTAAAATAATCATTATTTTTGATCGAAAAAATAAAAATCAAGTAATAATAATTACTTTTGAGCGAAAAATTAAAACTCGCATATTTATTATTATTTTTAATCTTTATTGGTGTTTAACCAATAACTCGAAAAATAAAAATCATTGTAAATTACAGTGGGACGTATGAAAACAAATACGTGGGTATATACTGTGGGTATAAATAAAACTGTTTTACGACGATTACAACTTGTTGATTTTTTGGTTAAAATTTAAAAAATAATGATTATTTTCCATCCCTGAAAATACATAAATGAATTTTATAGAAATTTTGAAAAATTTTGCGGCGAACTTTCCAGCTATTCTTATCGCTTTTCTACCCGGAAATATTTAACTAATGAAAATAATCTTTGGAAATTTAAGCAACGTGAATTTAACAAGGTGAAAGATTGAATTGCAATTGTAAATAAATTCTTACTACAAAACGTATGCGATTATGAAGGCCTATCGCTTTAAAAGATCAGAAAAGAAAGACTTCGAAACTTTGAGCGGAAAAATTTAAAAATTATTTTCAAGAGTACCGTTCACTTTTTAGAGGTGCTTTTAATTTTGTCGGTATAAAAGTGCTGCTTTTTTTAGATTTTTCTTTGCAATTAGCTTAGTTTTTCGTGGCCATCTGGGCACACTTAGGGCCAAATTCACAGTGCGTGGTTAAATCAGAATCGGCAGTTAACTACAGATTTTTGTACTTCGCGATTGAAGCTTGGAATGCAATTTCTCAAAAACGCGAAGATAGGTTTTCTCGAAAGTCTCTGAAAATGTTACTAGTTCAAAAAATTATTTAATTTTTACCGTTTATTTTTAATTAGTTTCGAGTTTATGAAGGATTTTTTTTTGGTAAAATTTTGTCGTAAGCGTCATTTGTCCAAAATTTGGCAGCAACTCTGTATGAAATACGACAAAATGTGATCCAAATTTCCACAAAATTAATGAAACTTTTTACTCAATATATCGGAAACAAAAGGAGATATCCAAAAATGGAGAACGCCATTTTTAAAATTTGATTAGTTTAATATGATTGCATCACTAACTAAATTTTTACTTTTTCGTGCAACCCTGCGTAAGTTGAGTGCAAAAGTTGCCTGAAATATCGCCGCGTGTGAAAGCCCCATAAAAGTGATGTGTTTCGGAGTCGCTTTGAGGAAATTGAAGTGGTTATCGAAGTGATGACTTTCAAGCACAATTAAAGCGCAGTTAGTCAACGCCGTAGCGTAAACGTAGGTTGACGTACGTAGCAGCATATCAAATATACTGTTGATAGAGAGAGAGAGAAGCAACGGCAACGTAACGTTGGTGAGTTTTCGTTAAAGTGTGTTTGCATTGTTCAACATTTGCGTTCAACTCAGCGCAGGGTTGCACGAAAAAAAGTTGAATGGCTAAAAATATCAAAATATGAAAAAACATCAAAATATTCGCCATAAAAAGGTGTTTTCATTGAAGTAATATATTTCAAAGAAATTTTTATTTATTTTGGAGATAAATCTAATTTGTGGAAAGTGAAGTAAAATGAAGGGATGAAGTGAAGGCTTCCAAAGTGATGTGAAAAACTTCAATTGAAGTGACAGCGGCAGCACTGAATGGGGTAATTCGCGATCGTAATTGGGGGAGCGAACAAGGTAATTCAGTGTGATGTGGAAAAATGGTATAAAACTCTTTGAAGTGCTATCGATTACATCAAAGTTACAGTTCTAAAAGCATCGATTGATATCGGGCAATTAACGAAAACTATTGTGAGATACTCGTATTGTAAAAGAAGAAGAGTGTTTGCAAAAAATTTCAGTTTCAATACATCCCGCAATTTAACTAAAATATACGGATACTAAATATTTCATGTCTTAGGAAGCAAGCGTACAATCTACGAAATGATGCACATTTCCAAGACAGTGCAGCTGAAATGCCGTACTTGTTTAGATGCCACAGAAAAGAAGTTCCACTCTTTGAATGGCCAACTTGTGAAGGACGACCAACGAAAGTCTCTGGCCGAATTTCTGTGGGACATATCGAAAATGGATGTAAGCAATATTCAGATATGAATACTATATATGTTGTCATTTAATAAATATACGAATCCTACACTGAACAGAATGCTTCGGATAGTGCCAAAATGTTACCACAACAGATATGCGATAGTTGTTTGCGAAAATTAAAAATTGCATTTTCATTTGTGATGCAAGTTCAGAAGCTGAATGGGTGCATATTATCCAAGAATGATGAAAGTGCCACTGCGGATAAAAAAGAACATGCCCGCATGGACTACCATGATGAAGCTCCAGAATGTTTCGTCGACTGCAATACATCATTTTCGCAATGCCTGGAAGGTGGGTCGAAAGGGGTACAGTTCGATTATTTCTGTGTTCATATGGAAAAGTAGCTTATGTTGAAAGGCTGGCTTTAGTATAAATCGGCATTCGCAGCATACGATTGCGAATGACTCACTGGCGGTAAGCCGTTGAACAACTTTTAGCAAATAAACGTGGAAGAAATAGTTCCGATACTAGCAAGTCAATATTCTTATTAAGTCTCATCAAAAAATTCCTTGCCGTTTAAAAAATAAAGGGATTGCCGCATTATACTAAAGCCAACCTTTCGACATAAGCTACTTTTCCATACGAACACAGATTTGTACAATAATGTTGGGTTATTGCGTCCAAACGGATGACGCGAATCAAAACCGTACCCGTGTGGTTAAAGTACAAAATTTAAATTCAAAACAAAATTTCAAATTTCCGAGCACTAATTTGTTAATAAATTCGGTTAGAAATATGCAAGTTTTTGTAAATTTCCGCGGTTATGTTTTTGGGCGCGGCCGAGGACGCAAAAATACTGTGGTCAATGCTGCGGGAGTCCATGGCCATCAAAGCGGAAAGGTGTTCTGCGCCAAAATACTTTGGTCAGCGTACCCGGAGTTGGGGTTACTATTTTCAAGGCAGCCGAAAGTCGCCCCATGGTAAATCAAATAGCGGTGACTTCTTACAGTTTTGACAGTGCCCTCCGCCCTCACACCAAAACCATTGTACATATAACCGAACACTCCATAATAAGCTTGTTTCCAGAACTCCAGAATTTGCATATTTTCAGGATTTAGAGGAAAACCTGTTTCCACCATTAATAAACCTTGTGAAAGGTGGTGTGCTAGATCAGCTTTCCTGTAAAACCTGCAAATCCTGGAGTACCGGGAATTGAATACTGCAGCCGGATTCCAACATTTGCTATCGCTAATTCTGATCCCTAAAAATCTCCAAAAGAATAGCAGACGCCCTTAACAACACGCAACATCTTGTTGCATGCCCGCAAGGTGCCAGATTTGGCCGATTACGCATCGCTTGTGTTACTCTTTCAGGTTGTATACTTTTAGGCCCTACTGCTTTTCAGTTAAAGAGTTTTAGCGACGAAAATTTAGCGTAGCGATTGTCAGAATCCCACTGCTCCTCAACTAAGTTTACCAGAAGTAAATGCTTACTTTTATATATATTTTAAGATCCCATAGCCATTTCACAGCCACGGAAAAGGAAGTTTTCGTCGGAATATAGTAATGACTGGGAAGAAGACCACCAGGAAAGGTAAATATATATTAATATGTATATGTGTGCGCTTACGCTCATCGGGATACACAATTTGAACATTTAAGGCGTCAATATTTCAGTGAAGATTCTGCAGCTTCGAGCGCATCAGGATTAGAAGGTGTCTGCATACGTAGTTGCTTTATAAATAAATAATAACTGAAATTTAATATCTCTCAACAGACAATGTAAGGGATAGAAGAAACCCAAAATATTGTAAAAATGAATGCCACAAAGGTAACCAAATATGTATGTGCACTAATGTATATATAACGATTCATACGTATTATATTATTATTATAGAAATGAAATCCATGCTTCATGATTTGATGAACATACAGAAACAGATTAACACCAGAGTTAAAGGTGTTGTACTATATACCAACATTAATGTAAGTTTTAAATTAAAACGTATCTATCTATAATATGAAATATAATACATAAATGTAACAAAAATTATTTTACAGTTGCCTGACGAGGGGGAAAATACTAGCCAGAATAAAAACGTAGCGGGGAAAGACAAAAAAAGATTTCTATCAGGCAACCATAAGTCTGACCAAGGTGACCGTAGGGAATCGGTACGGAGTTGGTTCCCAATATCTTCCATCGAGGAGGCACTAAGAGTTGAGAGAAAATTACGAAGCCATGATTATGCACAAGATGTTGTAAGCAATTAATTATTTATTTTATCAAATTTTGCATTTATTCATATCGGAAGCAGATTGCTTATTTAAAGGGCATGAAAGGATATGGAGTTGGCGACGTTTTACGCTTTATTTTTAAAGATGATCTGGTAGAGCAATATAATCTCGACGGAAGACATGGAAAGTTGTCACTTAATAAATTTGATTCAATTTTAAAATGCGTTCAAAGTAAGAAGTTTTTCCAGCCATTCCATAAAAAGAAATATAAATTCAAATATATATTTTGTTATTTCGCAGCCATATTTTCCAATCTACCTTCCAATGAATTTTTAAGAATGGTTCGTAAATATGTAGAAATGTGTCATAATCGAAATAAGCAGAAGAGACGTAAATTGAGGAGAACACAAGATTTCACCGGCGAGGCAAAACAGATAGAATTTCGTGATGAAATAACGGTACGCATAACTTTATTAGGTACTGAAGTGGGGCTTAAAAGTAATCAACTGGGTAAAAAGACGGCTGGTAGAGAAAGTTAATTAACATAATTAATTGTGATTACAATAATAAGGCGATTTATTTCATTTGGTTGTTGTAACAGCATAACAATTCCCCAAAGAGTTTTTGGGGCACAATGCTGGAGTGACAGTCCTTGGCCAGATATGAATCTAGGTCGTTCTGGTGTGATACTTCTGGGCTACCCACTATATTCAAAAGTAGTTAAATTATTAAATACCACTTTAACGCATAGGTACACGACGAAAGTGCGAAGATAGCTCATACAGTTGCGGCTGAAATCAATAATGAAAGGTAATTATTCTATACAAAAATATTTATATATGGTTGTATTACGTACATTTGTGACAGGGAAAGTTAAAAAGAACATATCATGTAGAGTCCGACCGATTCCCAATTTTTGGCCCATGCCGATGCCGATTAATCGGTTGTAGGGCAAAGAATCCGCCGAGGCCGATTCCTTAAAAAAAAAAATACCTGAATATAAATTCATTCAAGAACAAATGTTTTTGACAAACTTTTATAATAACATAAAAAACATAAAAATAACATTATAAAACAAATAATTACTCAAGAATCTATTTACTTATTTATGTACATGTCTTCTCCTGGGTAAAAGATTGTCGTATGTTACGCACGTACGTATGACGCTTACGACAATCTTTTATCCAGGCGACGATATGTACATAAATATTTATTAAAAGTAGTATATCGCCTATGCATACTTATCATTGCAATACTTTGTTTAATAGTCTTTTTCTTATTCAATGTTTAAAAATAGTTCATTCGAAATCACATTTCTTAGTTGTACTCATATTTAGTAGTAAAAATATGGAGCTTCTGATGACTATAAAGGTTTTGTAGTGAATACAATTTGTTAATAAACAGTAACCGTAGATTTTTAATGATAAAAGTATTTTTGTAACGTAAACAATGTAATAATCCAGTGAAAAGAACCCGAAGGATTTAGGAATTCAGCAATTAATTTAAGGATAATCGTAACAATACTTACAGTAACGATATTTTAGCATTCTTTGGCTATTTCCCTTTCGTTTATTTAATGTTTCTTATTTTTTTATGAAAGCGTAGCTCGTTATCTAACAAAAACCATGTTATTAAAAATTTCAAACTTTTTTTTAAACATTCTGAGTATGCAGTTTTGTAGTCCATTCAATTATATTTTATTAAAGTGCAAAATTTAAGTAACTAGGACTTACTATTGATTTTTGTAAATTTTTGTTGTGGAAGGTGTTGCGAATTTTCTCCATACAAACAAATTTTCGAACATACTTTGTTTGGAAGAAGATGCGTGAACAAAAATTTGTAAAAAATCAACACTTACAGACTAGCCTAATATTCGCGGCTTGCGTTTGGGTACGCATATCGTCGAATTGGTTTTTTTTTGCGTCTCCCGAAATTGGCTTGCGTGCGTTTGCATTTGATTTCATTGAGCGAAAGGTCAAATCATGTCACGCAGAACAAAAATTGGAAATTGAATTAGCTTTATACTCACGCCGCACAGTGGGGCAAAAAAGGTTGCTGTGGACAAATCAATTTTGAAAGCCCAAATATGAATCGATTTTAAGTTTCTTTTTTTAAATAAAAGATAATTAAATTTTGCGTCTAACTATCCGTGGCGATTTTTTAAAAAAGCTCTGGTTTTTTTTATTTATTTATGTTGAAAAATTAAAGAAAAAAACTTTCACATTTGAATGCTTCCACTTTTTTGGAAAATACTTCAAATCAATTTCAAATGCCTGCAATTACTTAAAAAACTATTCATAAACATTTTGTCCACAGCAACATTTTTTGACCCACTGTGCGCCGTTCAATTTTGGTTGGTCCCATACAAGTTGCATGTGCATGAAAAATTTTTGACAATAAATTGGCGGCGTGCGTGAATATTAGGTTAGCCTGTTGCTTAGCTACTTCATTATAATAAAATGTAAAAACTGCGTACTAAAAAAATTTAAAAAATTTCAAACATCGTACAGTTTCATAAGTAAAAACAGAATCAGCCAAAAAAATGCCTACAGCTGAGATCACCTGTTTTTTGGCATGTGGTCTTATCTTTTACAATTTCTTTCATTTCTATTACAATTTCTTTTATTTCTATTACAATTTATTCAAAATACACTAACACACTGAACCAAAAACACCTACCAAACACAAACCTACAGCCTGTCAGAAAAAACGTTAAGAAGAAAAGTTACTTTACTTATCTAACTGTACGATGGTTTCAAATTTTGATGAACATTTTTTAAAAATTGCGTTTTTCATTAAAAACGGCCTCAAGCTCAATAAAAATTTGGTAAAAAGAATCGGCTAAAAACGGCCGATACTAGCCGATGCCGATTAATCGGTCGGACTCTAATATCAAGGGCTTATATTCAATACCCTCTATCTGCACTTTTCACAAAAATGAGATTCTGATATAAAAATTATACCTAAGACTTAACTGTCATTGGTGATATTAATGTTGCGTAACGCTTGACAGAAGAATTTACTATTAAATTGCAGAGTCAGAATTAACATCAGTGATGACAGGTAAATCACAGATGGGTTCTAATATTACAAAGCAGTTTTTGTGAAGATTTCAGGTAGAGAGTTAGTCAAAATAATAGGGTCAATAAAACAAACTGATATCATTGTTTGCAACTTATGTTTATTTATTTATTTTTAATAATTTTCATTTAAAAATGATATTTTACATGATATAAAAATATTAAGTTAGTTTCACTCATACTTTTCGTCAGCCATATTAGGGCGCTGTTACGCAGACGATCATATGAACTCTGGTCACCAGTTGTTGTTGCTTTCTCTAGCGAGTTTTTATAAAAATCTGGATTTTTCTTTTCGAAAATAGTTGGCAGCACAGCTGGTCATGCAGTTCAGTTCCCTCCAATTTTTCATTGTGCAGTGAAAGCAACAACAATTGATGTCATATCATAAGACCTCTGGTCACGGTGGAGAAAATACAGAAGGTGGCGCCGATGGCAACACCGCTAATCGGCTCTCAGTGAACTTTACAGAATCAGCTGTTTTGCTGACGTCACAGTCGAGATGACAGCAGTAGTGATTTGCTGAGTCAAAAATTTTTGAGTATTAATCGATATTCGGTACCGATTTAAAAAGTATCCAATGCTCCCGATACTCACCTGAAAGGCTTCTTCATCCGTCAAAGCACTTTATTTGACGCTCTCAGTTGTTAACTCTACGATGATATCACGCCAAAATTACTATCACAAATTTTGCTGCAATCGGCGCCATCTTGTATTCTATAATTTCCGGCATAACAGTATGTTGGTCAAAGAGAGTAAGAATGGAAAAAATGAGAGAAAAAGTCCGTGACCAGGGATTAAGAATGATATTCGTTGCGTTCGATAACAAAATTAGCCAACACCAGCCAACAATCAAAATCAAGAGCGTAAGCGAAAATTCTCTCCCAAAGAGAAGAAAAAGCAAAAAAGTAAACGAACAGGAAATTAGCAATCACTTGCAAAAACCGGAAGCAGAAGACACACCAGCTAACTTTGTTTATGTTTTATTTGTAAACAAACTGAAATTCATGTTGCCTCCATAGAAAAAAAAAGGAAAGTGAACGTTCAATGTTCGCCAGGAACATTTCTAGAAGTAAAAACTAGTTGGCGCTATCATAAAATCACATAGCAGGCAGCCAAAAAGCATATAAATACCAAAACTCGAAAAATGCAATGTTGTTTGTTTACAAAATATGCAACCATATGTTTGTGATCATACATATGTTTTCGTGATGGATAATTTTTGCTGACTAAAATTTTGCCAGTACAAAATGAACGCTTCTCTTGCATCAAAATGAATGCTTGCTCTCTCAATTTTTGTGTATTGGATAATTTTTTGTCGTTATCGAACGACATCCAGTAAAAATTTGGAAAAACTATTACAACTTTTTGACTTGTCGAACGCAACTATTCTCACTTTTTGTGTATTCTTCAATTTCCGTTAATTTAAATTCAGTTGAGTTTGGCACTTTTCAAGATTTTGTCAGCATAAATTCTTCTGGCTAAATCTGACTACTTCGGACTGAAGAGAGTCACTCTCACTAAGTGTTGCTCTCTCATTTTTGCTGTAATTTTCGAGTTAAAGAACGCTGTTTTGACCAAATCTGACTAGTTCGGACTTTTTCTGACTATTTCTGGGAGATAAGGAACGCAAATAATGTTAACAAAATTTTAATCTTTGTTTTTGAAAAAATAAATTGCCTGAAAGCCTAGTAAAGGGTAAACACACCAAAACTGCGACACTTTGGGAAGCTTATAACTTACCCAAAACGAATTCAATATTTTGAAATTCAAATACCATAAGCTGACCACATGACTTTAGTTGGACGTAGAAGAAATTTCATTTGAATTTGATTCCTAGTTGAGTTAAAAATGGCAACCGAGTTAGAAACGAGACAAACCATTTTGAGTTTATAAATGATCCGGCCTTAAGTACACGTAAAATTGCTAAAAAATTTAAGATTGCACTATTCGACAGTTTGCAGGGTTTTAATCGATACAAATAAGTTACGAGAAAACCAGGGAGCGGGGGTTAGCATGGTCAAAGTGATAAAAACAGTGCTCGGAAGGTCCTCAGTGCGTTTTCGCGAAATCCGAAGATTTTGTCGCGTTATGTTGCAAAACCCGTACGCAGATCGCAGATTTTCGTACAAAAGGTAAAGCGGAAAGCTTCATTGAGATGTTCTACAGCTCAAACAGCGCCAGACCGAGGAGCAAAGTAGAATGTTACAGCGAAATACCGCGTTCGGAAGTTGTATGAATTCTAAATTTAAAAATACAACTGCATTGTTATGGACTACGAAACCTACTGCTATAAAAATTCAAAATATATTGCAGGTCAAGACTTTTATACTGCTGCAAGTCGTCAAGATGCCCCTGAAAGTTGCAAGCTGAAAATGAAGTCCAAATTCCCAAAAAACCACATGGTTTGGCAAGCTATTTGATCCTGTGGCCGTAAGAGCAGCCCTTTTTCCCATCCGGGACAATGAATGATCAAGTTTATCGGGATGAGTGCCTCAAAAGGCGTCTTCTGTCATTTATCAACAGATCAGGAGTAGGCCACTGTTCTAGGCGGACATGGGAACCTGCCACTATGCCAAGGACACATTGCCGTGGTATAATGCAAATAACATCAAGTTTGTACCTCACGACTGCAATCCACCCAATAGCCCAGAGCCACGTCCTATTGGGGGAATATTGGTCAATTGTCAAAGAAATCTTGCAGAAAACAGGTGAAACAGTGAAAAATATTGAAGAGTGCAAACGAAGTAGTTGCGCGCATCGCGTAAAGTCGATGATGCAGTCGTGCAGAACATGATGGCGCGTGTGCGATGAAAATACCGATCACTTGTATATGGAGCAAATAATAACTAATATTTTAACATTTTAATAACATTTAAACTTCCAAGTTATATAATACAAAAAAAATATAACTTCAAAGCCTTCTAGTTTGTTTCTGGTAGTAATTTCTAAGTGTCGCAGTTTTGGTGTGTTCACCCTTTAGAACCCGAGAACAACGTAATAAGAAAAATGAATTAATCCTCAAGGTGGCGCAGGTGTCGATATTTGAAAATCCCGTTTTTATGGTCCGATTTTTTGATGACATCGTTGTTTTGTCAGTATCGTTTGAACGACAATCGTTTCAAAGTTATGTGATTCATACCCTGTTGGTTGTGCTTCCTTACTAATATTATAAATCCGAAAGTGAGTTTGTTCCTTTGTTACGATTTCACGCTTTAACTACTCCACCGATCATCATGAAATTTAGTGCACTGATGTCATTTAGCTCAACTTAAAATATAGGATAGATTTAATCTCGAGCGTACAACGGGGCGTGGCACCTCTCATACAAAGGAATTTTTCACACTGCATATCGCAGGAAATATTTGCGATACTGGAACTTGGTATGGAGTTATTTGAAATCATATTAAAAAATTGATGATAAAGTTGTGGCTTGAAAATATTTTGAAAGGGGATGCCACCTGTTTGAAAAGTCAAATTCAAATGAATTATTCGCAAGCTATGTATCTGAATAATTAAAATATGGGTGTCAAACGAAAAATTGTTAAGAAACTATTTGTTTCAATATTTTGAATATAATTGAGGCGTTTTACTGGGGTTGCCACCCGATTAAAAATTAAATTCAAATAATTTAAATGAATTACTTCAATATGGGTGTCAATCAAAATGTTTTTGAAAAGGGTTTTAGTTTTAAACTATATGAAGGACTCAATAGTCCTAGTGGCAATCCACCTGTTTTGAAATAATTCTACTTTAATTAAGGGAATTACATAATTGAAATATGTATCACAATACGGGTGTCAGACCAAATAGGTTTAATAAGATTTTAGTTGGAAAATATTTTGGAGAGGGTTGCCAATTGTTTTGAAAGTCGAACTTAAATGAATTATACTCAATTTACAGTGTCAAACGTAAGAGTGTTTAGAATTGTTCAGCTTGAACATGTTGAATCTTCTGAGGTGTATGAAGAGGGCTACCACCTGTTTTAAAACAAAATTAAAATATGTACAATTATATTGTAAGTTAAATGAGTTATTAGAATATAAGCCACAAATACTATATAGCAGGGATTACACATATTTGACAATTAAAATTTAACTTGAAGAATATGTATTGCAATATGAGTGTCAGACGAAGGAGCTTTAAAAAGGTTGCCAACTGTTAAGAAAGTTAAATTCAAACTATTCAATAATTTCAATGAAGTATTACAAGAGGTGTATCAATCGAAATGGTTAAAAAAAAAGTTTAAAAACTACCGCGTTTGGCGTAGTTTAAGTAATGTAGCACGTAGAAATTTCATACACTCAGCGAAGCGGGTGATGGCGATCCAGTTTTTTATAAAAAACTAGCAAAAGCTTATCTTTTTTTGAATTATTTTATTAACTTTCTCTGTGGCATACTAGTATTACAAACTATTAATTACCAAATGTATATCACCATATTCGTTTTTATAATTTAAGTGAGCAAATATATGATGAATTATTATATGAAGACCCATTTGTATCAGACACTCAGTGTAATGATGAAGTGCGAATAGCCTCATTAAAACCAGCAATTGATACTGAACGGTGTGGTAAAGGAACTCAACCCGCTATTGAAGCATCGCCACCAGAGAAACGTCGTAAAGGTAGTTAATCCTAATAAGTTACTGTATGACTTTATTGAATAGGTATATTATTAAATACATACTATAATGTATGCATGTTTTTGTTTTTTTTAGAAATGAAACATGAGCCTTTGGTTCTTGACAGTCCCGAAGAAAGCCAGGTAAGAGCAAACTATAAAACTAATAATTTGTTTAATTTCACTGGACTTGTAATTAATTTAATACATTTTTAGCTGCCTGGAGGTTCAGGCTGCAAGTCGATTTCATTCAAGTTAGATCGAACTAAGAGCAAAGGTAGCAAATCAACAAAACTTACGGAAATTTCCATGTTGTTTCCTTTATCAACGCATGAAAAAGTATGTGAAGTTGAGGAGAGTCTTAAGGACCCTGATTACGCTGAGAAAATTGTAAGAGTCTTTAGCTTACAATTAAGATTTACAAAATAACAGATTATGTGTTTTATTTTTCATGAAAATCAGCGTGGACATCTGAATGTAATGAAAGACTATAAAGGTGAGATCGAAAAAGTACTACGTTGCAGTTTCAAAGATAATATCATCGCAGATTATAATTTGGAGGGTATTAAAGGGAGACGCTCATTTCGGAATCTACAACTCATTTCAGATTGCCTTTATAGTAAGTAAATGTTTTAATAATTTTAAATGTGTCACAACTCAAAAACAGGATTTTGAGCTAAGGATGTAGAATTAATGTTATAATTCTCACTTAAATTAAATAAAATCCAGAATAGTTCCCGCGTGAGAAGAGAATATGCACCTCCAGTTTCTGCGTGGTGAGAGTAAATTGTAAACTTTAAAGGCTTTTAAAAAACAGCGTTTTTTTTTTTGAGATGTGACATTATTTTAGCAAAGGAGCTTATCCTTTTTAAAACTTAACATTTAATTCAAAACAAATGTTATTGGCGAAATCGACACCTATGTATATGTATATATATTTTTCTTCAGGTGTATTTCCAGAAATCACGATGTTTGACTTCTCGAAAGAATTGCGCAGGTATATCTATATGAGTCACAACAGATATAAGCAAAAAAAATTAAAATCGAAACGTCATTTGTTCTAAGTTCTGAGAAATACTTCGTAATTAAGTTTCGAACATGATTCAATAATAAATAATTATAATAATAATTATTGAATCATGAGTTTCAAGTACTTTTATTATTATTTAGTGTAAAATAAAATAGAAACCTCCGGATATGTATTTCTGTGTCAACGTTGTGGAAAGTTATGTTGATTAAATTGTTTTACTGCTTCTCGACTGTCACCACGAAAGTCGGCTCTGTGTAATCGGGACGACCCAGCCTAGTACTGATTACGCTATTACACCAAAAACACGAACAGGTAAGGCTATAACTCCATGTTAAAGTTGCAACGCTTTTAAAAAGTTTGGTATAATTCATTTGGAAATTGAATATTGACTTCAGGGCCTGGACTACGAAAAATGTTTACACTTAGAAAGATACAAAAATGGGAGGACATTTCGATGGCACAGTGACAGATATTGGGTAGACAGAGAGACTAGTAGGTCTATTGTGGCCCCAGCTCATCAGAACAGCTTAACTAGCCTCAGAGACGCTATAAATTTCAGAATAGATCCCTTGAGAAGAGAGCGTAGGCGTTCCCCGTTGTTGTAACAGCATACAAGCTCCCCATTCTGTGACTAGATATACGTACATATGTACATAAATATGGGTCGTTCTTGTTACGTAGACCCGACTGTCGTGGGAGCGTACGTGTTCCTCTCTTCATCATAAGTGCATAGGACTCCTCTCCTTCCTGCTTGCACCGGCCTCGCACTTCAGAAGGAGGTGTAATGGAGTCTCCTGGGCAGCGTCACAAAAGCGGCATACAGACTTCCCGTAATGACCCTTAGTTTCTCCTTAGGGCGACCCACGAGTAGCCTATACTGCAAATAAAGGGCTCAGGTCCTATCGTCAGCGGCCACTGTGACGTAGCTGCTCCGCCTCCTAATTTCCCTCGATTCACATGTGTCCTGGTATCCATAACAATTGGATATTATTATACTCTGAAAGAGCATCAGGCCTCTACACATTCCAAAATCAAAGAGGACTTGACCTCGAAGGATGAGAGAGACTTAAGAGCCGCCTGACTATCGCTTGCAATGAGTACCTTCTCGCTTCGATAATTCTTTCAAATGTTGACCTCATTACACAGCCTGTTGACCCTTCGATCTGAGTACATATTTGTATTTATCGCAGTCGTTTTCTCGGCATTTCTCTTAGGTTAACCTGTCTGAGCCTCAGCTCCAAGTTCAAATTGGATAATCCTGTGTTCAGACAGTGAGGGCCCAGGTGAGACCCACCACTGAACGATCAGAGGGCTGGGCAATCTGCTGCTGAAAGCATTGTCGTGTACTTCCTCTAATGATATATTCTAAGAGGCACTCACCACTACGGTTTGTGTCCGAGCTGCCCCACTCCATATCAGGGAGTCGTCTCCTGCCCCCAAATTCTTTTAGCTGCTGTACTGCAAGGGATGGCACGTTGGCGTTGTCCCCCGAAAACTAGGCTGCGGCCAAGACTACCATTACTGTCAGTATCTGGTGGCGTCCTGTGTAAGAATCTCGGTACTGCAGAAATAATAAAATTTTTTTATTCAGCGCTACACACGCTCTGGGCCTCTCACAGGAGATGTTCCAAATTACTTATTACTGTTGTGATTGAGGCCCCTAACTTGGCTTCTGTAGGTCCACGGCTCCTGTATTAGTAGAATTTCCCGGTCCTCCGTGGCAACCCTGGTAGCATTGCCCGCAGAAGCGACCAAAGCATGGTGCAGGTTGACTTGAGCTACTGCTAAGTCTAGTGTACTCATAATTGGGTCTCGTCGTCGATATCCGCAAAGAATTTTTGGGGGCGCTCGCAGGAGCTGGTTCCTGAGGGCGAACGGGTTGCTGGTTGGATGGTAGGATTGTATTCGACGCAGTCGCTAGAGCAGCAGAGGAGTCAGCTGCCGCGTCGATTTGCATGTCTGCCACTCTGAATCCTTGCTGCCTATCGTACCGGAAATTTACGTTGAAGCCGGCCGCTTTTCAAGCGACGCTTAATCTATACCCAGATTGAGTCTCGAGACCGTAAAGCGATGGTTATAGGCACCATGGACGGTGCGTCTGACTCGCGAGTCATCTGTGTTCGATAACCAGCGAAGATCGAAAATCGAATGTAACTCATAATAAGGGCCAATATATTTGGGGTATAATTTTTTAAACAAACTGTACATATTTTGCATATTTTCTGTAATAACCGTATTTGGTAAAAATATATTATACGGTGACTGATATCACATGTAATGTAATTCTTCAAAACTGACCCCCAAAGGTGCTTTCAAAAATATAAACATATAGGCTGCATTTCTTTATTCATTCTGAACGTTTAGAATGAAAAAAATCGTACAATCGTACAAAAACAACATTTACCGTTGGTATGAACTCCTTGTGCCATCATCAGCTTCTTTATCTCTTCATATTCGTATGTATATGTATACCCTGCATACCAGGATTTCAGAGTATTCCGAAGGGTTTCATATATTTTTAAAAAGTTTTCTTTAAAAAATCGTAGAGAAATTTTTTGACTAGTTCTTGTAAACCGCTTCATATGTTTTTTTTGAAGAATCGTAACGAATTTCCGATACTCTTAAAGATTTCGGGAGCATTTGTTTGCAGGGTATATATTTACGTATACGTGTATGTATACGCGGAAATGTAAACAAAGCAAAACAGGCGCTAATTTGACACAAGCGTGCTTATAGGAAGAAGCATGGCTTCTATCGCTATCACCTGTAGTTGATACGCCTTGACCCTGTATAACTTGTCCTGTTTTTAAAGTGAACTGGTATACATTTAATGACCAATTTGTAATGTAGAAACCAATACATGAAACGAGCAAAATATCAATATTTAGACAAACCCTTAGCGGAAAAGGACTCAAATAAATGGGGTATTTATGAAAAAAAACATCGATAGTGATTGAAAAACATCGTTAGGCTGGAGGCGGGGGGGGAATAGAAAACATCGATACTATCGATAGTGCCTTCGATTGTTTTCCAGTTCTACCTCAATCAGGGATGGAATTCCAAAATTTCAAAATGTACCTAATGGAATGCAAAAATAGTGCCAAAAAGGGTTGAAAGTGCCCCAATATTGAAATCGCTTTCTTTTGAGGCTTTTTGAGAACCACATACATATGTATTTTTAGAAATAGTATTTTTAATGACTTCATTGAATTATTAGAGTAAGATCCTAGTAAAATAACACAATATTCCAATTACGAAAGGGAAAAACACTGAAATATAGCTACTCGGACCTGGTTAAACTTATACACATCTATGTGCGAAATAATAGCAGTGCGACATTTTGACCAGATTTGACTATTCTTCTTTACATTGAATAATTTTTATTTTATTTTATATAATGACCCTTATTTTACTTTCTAAGTGATTTTAATTTTCACTTTTCGAATCAATGACTAATATATGAATGTTTGTTATATACTGGCTAAATTTATAAAATTTATGTTTGTGCCGAAACTGAATGAATTGTGCCAAAAGTGCCTCTGAGAATGAAAGAACCAAAAATGTCACTATTGTGCCTACTTTTCCCTCACTGACCTCAATCCTAGTAGCATCGAATCGATGTTTGCGCGTTATCAGCGATTTTCGTCGAGTATTTCTAGTTGAACATATTTAACATTTGCACTAGTGTATAAAATTTCGCTTATTTTCATAGTTTACTCCAATTAATCAGAGAAAATCACTAAAAACGTAAAAGTTGCACGTTGGCTAACTGTGAAAAGAATGGCTTCATACCAATGTCGCACCTGCCGTGAGGCAAATGTTGGCAATTTCTATTCACTATCAGATCTTTTGGATGAGGAGCGCTACCCCAAGAAGACACTTGCAGACTTTCTTTGGGATGTCGCAAAAATCAATGTAACTAAAAAGTTTCTGCTTCCAACCCGTATTGAGTGAATATAATTTATTTTAGAATAAGTCCGAAGAGGCCAAGCGTTTGCCCCAACATATATGTGGAGGCTGTTCACGCAAGCTAAAAAATGCATATGCATTTGTGGTACAAGCGCAGATTGCCGACAAAAAGCACTTCGCTAGCTTGTATATAGAAAATATCTCGGCTAATGTTGAGAAAGAATTGGGTGGAAATCATAACGATTGTCTGTTGGAGGCCCCTATTGATATACCCTTAGGACAACCGGAAATTAAGAAGGAATCTGATTTCCATGAGGAAGATGATGGAGGTGGTACAGAGAATTTAACCGATGTCAACAAAGAGGCAGGAAACCGTGCAGATGATGTTGGTCAGTTGGTAAAAGAAGAAGTGCACATAGAGGCGGATGCAGAAAGTATCAGCTCAGGTGCGGTGTCATTCTTAATATTAATTTTGTTTAGTTACTTAAATTTACGTATGCAACAGATGACAGCACAGGGATCGATCCTATAAATACTGTGGAAACTAGTTGGAATATTGATAATACAGAAAATGATTTTGAAAATCAGACGGTTCTAAAAAGTGACAAGGAGGAGTAATTTACGTAAGGCATATCTTAAAGCTTTGTTATTACACCATTTTTTGTTTTTAGTGAGACTCCACCAGTGAAACGACGTCGTGGTAGACCTCAAACTACTTTAACATTAGACTATACTTATCGCGAAGAAGACGCCCGATATCACTGTAATAAATGTGAGAAAAGCTTCGCTTGGAAAAAAGATGCAGGGCGACATATGAAAATACATTTAGGTATTTTTCCGTATGAATGCGAAAAGTGTAATCAGCGTTTCCAGCGAAAAGATAAATTTGACAAACACATGAAGGTACATTCAAAAAACTCCACTGGCAATACTACAGGTAAAAATGCTATATTTTAGATCAAAGTTTATAAATGTAAAATAAATTGATTTCTCAATCAGAAGATGGCAAGGAAGTCGTTGAATTAACCTTGCAACAGAAAAGAGACGAGGAAGACACCGAGACTAGTGATGATCAGAGCGATGAAGATAGCGATTTACCGAGACGCCGCCGTGCTAGACCCCTTTCCACAAAAAAATTGGAATTCACATTTTCCAATGATGATGGGCGTTATCACTGTAATAGGTGTAACAAAGACTTTGCTTGGAAGAAAGATGTTGAACGTCATATAAAAAGCCATTTTGGTATTTTCCCATACGAGTGTAAACAATGTAACCATCGTTTCCAGCGAAAAGATAAGTTCGCCGACCACTTGAAGACCCATTCAAAACCAGAGGCTGTAGTCAAACGTTCACGGCCAACAGTGCGGGCAGAGTGGAACTTCGCAGAACGCCTTTACACAGAGCAGCGTTTCCGTTCGGTTGAATGCAAACTCTGCACTGACGCTATTCCGAACATTGAAGCTTTAAGGCAGCACTTGCAAACACATAATCAACCAGATTCTTTGTGCTTAAATATTGAGGGTGAAGTAGTTCAAGAACTTTTTCCTAATTCTAATGGCGATATTGGTAAAATTAAAGCACAAATATGCAAAGACATCAAGGATCAGCGCTACGCAAAATATTACGCAATTATTAATGCATACGGTTACGAAATGGCTCTTAGCGATTCTGATTCAGAACCTAATCCAAATGAAACGAAATACGAATGTGAACTGTGTCATGTCAAGTTTGCACGCAAGCATCAACTATTCCAGCATTCAAAAACGGAACACGCACAAGAGAAACTGCCGCATAAATGCAACGTTTGCAAGTTAGAATTCGTCAGTGCTGCCATGTATGAATTGCATGCACGGACCCAGTGCAGAAGTCGAGATAAAAAGTACCAATGCCTTAAATGTCCTGGCAAATTTGTGTGGCTACAGAACTTACAAGGTCATAATTGCTCTAATCGTCTCAATGTCTACGTGCCCAAATGGCCTGATAAGCGCAAACGACATCTATTGCAGTGCAATTTTTGCGATAAAACGTTCCGTTATGCGACAGATTTGAAACGACATCAAGAGACACATAACTTAAACAGTCGCTCGCATGTGTGTGCTATTTGCAGCCAACCTTTCTTGAAGGCAGAAAATTTGCGACAACATCTGCGTCAGGCGCACGAGCAAATAAAACGTCGAATTGAATGCTGCTTATGTACAGAAAAACCGAAAACACTCGCTCAACTCCGGACCCACTTGTCACAGCATTCGGATGGTTGGACTGGCATTCGTTATACGGAGGCAAAGTATTTTAAGGTACATTGGCCGCAAGGTTGCCGCGGAAAAGAAGGAGAGGTCGAGCAGAGTATTTTAATTGATTTTGCTGGACAAAATTTAACTAACTACTATTCGGCTATGGATGAGAGTGGCAACGAGTTAGATTTGTACGACTCTGAGACTGATTTGGACTTGGAATCAGGCACTTCGACCAGTGAGCCACCCTCGTCTATCTCTTACACGTGCGACCTGTGCGGTCAGGTATTTTTCAGGAGAAAACGCATACTCCAACATCAACATAGTGCACATGCTGAGGAGAAGCAACCATTTCCACATTCTTGTACGCGTTGTGATAAAAGATTCATTTGCGCGGGCTTATTGGAACAGCATTATAAGCGCGACTGTGGCAACATATATAAGCGTTTTGATTGCCAGCGTTGCTCAGCCCGCTTTGTGTGGGAGGAAAATCTCCAACACCACATGCAACGCCAGCACATTGATCCGGAGCAGCAGATAAGTCGACAGCTAGCCAATAAACTCCAATGTGACCAATGCAACAAAGTTTTTGTTTGGCCAAAGGATCTTACACGACACAAGCGCATACATATGCCCGACGATGAGAAGTTTGAGTGTCTATACTGTGAACGAAAATTCTATAGAAAGGACCATTTGCAAATTCACTTGAAAACGCATGGCGCAGGCGGTAGCATGGCAGCTGCAACTACGACCGCCATTGCTAGCAAACGGGAGCTTAATCGGAAGGTGAATGGTAAGAAGTATCAGTTGAATAAATGCATATATGTGTATATATTATGAAAATTCAACTATTTTGTTATTATATGATTTAGCGGTCGATCCGCATCTTTGCCAACCGAACGGCTTGAAATGCGTCCAATGCAAAATATGCTTGTCCAAGCACACCAAAATAGCCGATTTACGCATACATCTCTTAGAGCATCAAAGTAATGTCTCTTTA